TCTCGACAGAGTGTTCGTCTTGGGGTTTCTAGAGGGATCAAGACGCTTCATTTTCAATAGAAAAAACCGTTAAATTTTATATGTTTATATAAACATATAAAAAAAAGGTCAATCATAAAAAAAAGTGTTATGCGTAGATTCGAAATTTGTATTGAAATAATTGTAACGGTATATAGTGTGAAAGAATGATGACGGCACGGTGGTATCATCAAAGGGCCGATTGATGTTGTGTATTTATTGCTTAATTTTATTTCACTTATATTTGAATGTTCTAAATGATGGTAATTGATTGGATGTTGATTTTTCTCGAATGATAGAAAACTACTGGAATTTGTATGCTTAAAAAGATGGAACAGACGGCAATCGTGTCAATGTCGATATAAAATAAGTAATATTCGAATTATGAAAAGATGACAATATACAATAGTATGACTGAGGCGGCAGTGTCCTCAAAGGGCCGCAGTTGGCATGCAGTTCTGTTATATTTGATACATATCTAAATTATTTTGCTTGTAGATAAGCTTGCATCCCTCTCGAATAGCGAACGATCCGTTAGATTTATTAAATTATTTACCTTTTGNTGTAATGATATAAATAATAAATAATTATACAGTTATAATATTATGTTATGTGAGCATAACATTACATGTTCAAATGAATCATAGATAACATAAGAATGGATAGGCCACTCCTATATTAATATAATAAGGGGCCGCGTTCCGAAATGTGAATGAGACCGACTGCTTATACTGCTCCCATTCACATAATGATATTATACAATGATATATATTTCACAATGATAACAACTCAATAAACGTAATTTGTATTTGAATTATTTTTATCAAAACAATTTCAAGTGGTTATTACAATACAATTGTATATTATTATTATCGTATTTTTCACGAAATTATAAAGATTAAAGATAGTATAAAGAAAAATCGTACCAGGGCTAAATTAACGAAACTTATGAACTCAATTAATTCAATTGAGCACCTACTATTATTATACCAAACATTCCTAAACCAGAATTGTAATCTACATATATATATTTATAATTTTTTTTTTTAATAGCGTATTATGTAGGTATATAATTTGAATGTTTTTGTCAAAATATTATTTCATAATAAATAATGATTATATTTGATTATTGATTATAAAGCGCTAATTATGTTTAACTAATTAACTTAATTGATACTGAATAGAAGTAAAATGAGTTATGAACTATAGATTATTTTTGATCAAATTTACAACTTTATAGATGCAACCCCTTGTAACCTAAAACTAAAAAAATGTTGGTTCTCTTATGACAAACTCTTATTCATTTTTGTATTATCTATGATATGAATACCCGATTCATATTTATAAACGTGTAAATGACATATTATACGGAAATTTACCATCCACCCATTCCCTGGTAGTGGCACTGATAACACCAAACAACTCGTCGTTGGTAACTGCTTTCGGTTCAATATCGTTGAAATAAGGTTTCAATTTCATATTTGAATAGGCCTTGTACAGTGTTTTCCAGACTTCAGATTTTCCCGTACCAGCCAAACCGATTATAAAAACTGAATGTCGAACTTCTAACAACTCCACTAGTTGTACTACCTGTGCCAACAAAACAATTGGGTTATATATTTAAATGGCACATTTTATGATAATAACAATGAAAATCGAGACCTTGAGTATAAAATTGTCTTCAGGTTGGAGTTTCAGGTCAAGCGCAGCTTGGCGGACCGTTTTTTCGAAATCTAAATTACGTTTTCGGGGCACGTCAAGTGCAGGAAACAGATCACCAATTAGCCCCATAAATATACTGGTATCTTCAGTTACGATTTTTGGGGTATTAAAATCTCTGAGAGCTCGCATTAAAACTTGATCTTCCGGGCGATTTCTATCTGATCGCTAAAATTGAAATTAAATTTGTTACGTTACGACTGTTTCAAAATACATTGGTTTGTATGTTATATGTAGTTATAATATAATTTAATTATTATAATTTTACATAAATGTTTCAAATACTTGGAAAAGTTTTATTTTAATGTAATTTTTTCTTTAAAATTTAAAAGTATGTTTATATTGTTGGTTTCACGAAATTTACTTTTATTATAATTTATAATGAACATGTTTACCTTTAATGATCCGGCGACAACCAANTACCACCATGGCACAAGGTCTGGAGAGAATTCAAATTTTAAAATCTTTTTTTTGTTTTAGAAAATCATTAAATACATAATACGAGTAAACATGCAACATACCTGAACAATGCCTTAAGATTTTCAGGAAGTTCTGCTCGTCCCGCGTACCCCGGGTTCATTGTAATGAACATTCCCACTGTAGAAATAAGATTTACTTCGTCCCCAAGTAGCACACACGTTTTTTTCTTTGCTTTTATGGAATCTAATACGCTTTTTACTTGGGTTGCTACTACGGACAATACTTCAACAGTTATCCTATTGAATTCGTCGAAACATCCCCACGCACCGGTTTGGGCGAGGCCTTTGTATATGTTACCACATGACTGGAAACCAGATATTTATTTTATTTTTATAATAACATGTTATTGATTACAATATTTAACCATTTATTTATTTAATAAAGTTTACATCTTGTGGCTGTTTAATACAGTAATTTAACAAGGATAACATATTACTATGGATAATACAACAATTTTTTAGGTATATATATATATATATATATATACATATATACTAGTGAGATTATTAAAAAATATGGATTTCAGATCTAATATTCCAAAAATTATAATTTTAGATTTGATAAAAATGCATATCACATTAAAAGTTTCTTAGTTATAATTACCCTAAAATCCATTTGTTCAGAACAATTGAAAACGTAGACCATCATTCCAATAGCTTTCCCCAAATCTTTGGTCGTCTCAGTTTTTCCGGTACCGGCCGGTCCAGCAGGAGCACCACCCATTACCAAATGAAGTGACTATAAAATTTAAAAGAACAAATTTAATAAAAGTATGAGTAAAAATAGAAATGGACACACTTCGTATCATAAATTCTAGGACACTGTTATTATCATTCATACTCCAAATAGAACTCTGTCAAACATTTTAGGTTTTGTGTGGAGCCAAGAAGTTTATGGTTTTACAATGGTGTTTATTTATTTTATTTTCCTGTGAACAACTTCTCTACTAGAAATTTTGCAAATCATATTGGAGAGGTACTTTAAGAAGGTAGTTTTTTGGTTTATTTAGGAATTTTTCCAATAAATGGGATAAACTGGAAAAACGAGAAGACGTAAGAAAAACGGGAAAATAGGGACGATATTAAACAAATATTATTAAAGCAAATGCTTATGCAATTATTTTGCTATAATGTGATTGTTGACAAAGCAACACTATCAACGAAACTCCGTTAAAAATCGTTTTGTCGTTGGCAATGGTTTACCATTGCTTACAGGTATATATTAAATTTCTTCTCTACTACCTTTCAAATTTCTCACCTACAATAGTGGCCCATCTACGTGCAAAGTATGTTCATCTTTTTTTGTCTAAATTTGAACTTAAGGTTGTATTAATAAAAATTGATATATAACGCAGAATCGATTTATTATCATTTATCAATAAGTGGAACTTCTGATGAACTTTATAAAGTTGCTGAGCTTTTTTAGCAAGACAAAAATGGTTGTGCTCATATTTCTATGATTATTTCTTATTGAATCACAAAAAAAAATAATATAAATACATTCCAAAATTTCTTCTAAGATTTTTTTTTTTTGTATTTTCATTACTTAAAAATGACATAATTTACACGCGGGCACAGCCACTTTTCTAGGCGGGAAGTTGAGAAGGTAGGATACAGAAGGGAATTTAATGTAAATTTGTTAGCAACGATAAACCATTGCTAATAATTGATAGTGATGCTTTGCCAACAATATATATATGTCATATTGTGTTAAAATTAATATTCATTTCTTTAATAATATTTGTTTAATATTGTACCTATTTTATTGTTATTCCTACGTTTTTCCCATATTTTTCCGGGTTTTTCCCATTTACTATGAAAATAGCTGGGAAAACCAAAAATGACCTCCCTAAAGTACTGTTCTAGTCAGATTTACTTTCAGAAAAAGTTCATTAATTGAAAATTACAAAATTACTATTAGAAAATTTACTCACAGATTAAAAAAATAAAAAAAAAAATTAAAAATCACAGTAAAACCAATACTTTATCATAACAATATGTGCGTTGGTATCTAGATACGTAATATGCAATTGTTAATAATAAAACAAATTAAATGTTACACACTT